GGATTGGCCTAGGGGGGGATTTTATAGGGATTTTAAAGGGATTTTATAATTTTAAATCTAATACAGGTCATTTAATATATATTTTAATTTGGCTTTTAGATATTTATTGTATAGTACTGTTTTTATTTACCTGTAAGCCGCCCTGAGTCCCTCGGGAGAAGGGCGGGGTATAAATTAAAGTAATAATAATAATAATAATTATATTTATAAATACACCAAATTTTATATAATTCTACCCCTTCATCCCCTTCCCTCCTCCCTCCCCCGGACTTCCCAGAACTGAGTACAGGGATAAATACATAACATCCCAAGTCTAAAATAAGCTATCAATTCTACTGAATATCCAATCGAGCGAGTGACTTCAACAATCTGGCCATCACACCGGAGAAGGAACTCCGTTGAGCTACAAGACATTTCACTTTAAATGTCCGGGCACGGGAATATTTAATATCAGTGGCGAAACCGATTAAAAAAGGTAGCCGTTGTTGCCGTCAAAAGTCATACTCACTTAACAGCATTTGGGTCTAAGCTAGCGTATAAATAATATAAGCATTTCATCCTCTCTTCGGTTTCCAAATTGTGAGGAACGAGATACTGAGCGAAGATTTTCTCCACCAGCAATCTGCAAAGGAAAATAAATTCAGGCGTCGTTGAATCCTGCTTTTAGTTTAATACGTTAAGCTTTTTTAAAAAGGGAAGCTGTCCTATACACGGGCATACGACAGAGCAAGGTCTGCAAGGCCAAGAGGAAGCAATCCATTCCCATAATACATATTTGAATATGTCCCAAACGTGTTTTTTTTCCAGGAGACAACTGGATTTTCTTGTTTTTCTTTGAAGACATTTCACTTCTCATCCCAGAAGCTTCTTCAGCTCTGACTGGATGGTGGGGGAACGGAAGGATTTATACTCCTTGCAGACAACTGGTCATTTGCCTTCTTTTAGAGCAGTGGTTCTCAACCTTTTTAATGCCGTGACCCCAACCGGTCGTAAGTCGAGGACTAAACTGGTCGTAAGTCGAGGACTAAACCGGTCGTAAGTCGAGGACTAAACCGGTCGTAAGTCGAGGACTACCCAACTGGTCGTAAGTCGAGGACTTTCCCTGCCCGGGAACGCCGGGCATGCGTGGTTCTGCCCCCTGCACCTGCCGAGGTGTAGCTGGCAAGCGGCAGAGACTGAGCAGGCCGGCCACCAGCTGGCCCAGCCCAAGGGAGGTAAGGCACCCGCTGGAAAAGGGAAAAAAATGGTGGGGAAAAAAAATGGTGGAAAAAAAATGGCGGACAGCCTTGCTTGGCGACCCCCGTGAAATGGCCGATCGACCCCAAATGGGGTCCCGACCCACAGGTTGAGAACCACTGTTTTAGAGAGTTGTTGAGGCCACTTGGCTTTACTTTACCAAGTAGTCCAAATGGGCGTGGAGCCTTCTTGGAACTGCTGAAAGGATTGTGTTGTAGGACTGCTGAGCAATTGTTGACAACACAGTCCTTTCAGCGGTTCCAAGAAGGCTCCACACCCATTTGCACCACTCAGGTGACCCTGAGGACACAGATAAGCCTCCAAGTGGCCTCGAGGACTCTCTTAAAAAAGGCAAATGACCAGCTGTCTGCAAGGAGTATAAATCCTTCCATTCCCCCCACCATCCAGTCAAAGCTGAAGAAGCTTCTGGGATGAGAAGAGAAACGTCTTCAAAGAAAAAACCAGAAAGTCCAGTTGCCTCTTGAAAAAGCCCCTTTGGGACAACTGAGGACTCAGATAAACCTCCAAGTGGCCTCAACGACTCTCTAAAAGAAGGCAAATGACTAGTTTTCTGCAAGGAGTATAAATCCTCCCTTTCAGCAGTTCCCAGAAGGCTCCACACCCATTTGCACCACTCAGGTGACCCTGAGGACACAGACAAAGCTCCAAGTGGCCTCAAGGACTCTCTAAAAGAGTGCAAATGACCAGCCGTCTGCAAGGAGTATAAATCCTTCCATTCCTCCACCATCCAGTCAGAGCTGAAGAAGCTTCTGGGATGGGAAGCAAAACGTCTTCAAAGGAAAAACAAGAAAGACCTCTTGAAAAAGCACATGACTGGATGACTGAGAATCTCCACAGATATTTGAACATGCATTTGCCAGACGTAAGCGGCCAGCCAAGTAGCCGGTCTCTACTAAAGGACGGATGGAAGGGTCGGGTTGCTTTTTGTGACTTTATTCTGGGGAAAGAGCAGATTCCCATCCACTTACTTATCATCGATGCTGTTCTGATAATAGATGTGCAAAAGTTTGTCCTTTATCCAGCTGACTTTCTCCGCTGCGTCTTTTCCAGCTTCAGCATGAAGGCAGTATTTCTTGTATAGCTGCGCAAGTCCCATCATTGCTTCTTTCCTTACCCGCCACTTAAACAAAACAACAAGAAAAGAAACACACACCCAGGTAGGCCATTTAATTAAAAATGAAGGACCAGAACAGGTTAGAAAAGTTGTAGCTTGTGTCGCCACAGAAAAGTCAACCCTCTTTATGTTAAAGGCATTATCTTCTTATATATAAATAAAAATGTAAATGTTCGTTTGTTCAAAATCTTACATCTCCAAAAGTTCTTCACCGACTGCTTTGAAATTTTGACACAACGTTGCATTCGAATACGCGCGTGTTTTTATATACCTACTATTATATAGACGTCACACCTGTGACAGGTAAAAACATGTTTTGAAAAACAGCGCCATCTGTTGGCTGAGTGAACGAGAGCCACAGCAATGCGTGGCCGGGGTACACAACTAGTAAAAAATATATCGGCAATTGAGGTTGTCCCAAAGGGGCTTTTTCCAAAGGCACTTGGATCTTCCTTGGTTTTTCCTTGAAGATGTTTCGCTTCTCATCCCAGAAGCTTCTTCCAGAACTGAACAAGGTTCTCGAACGAGAAGCGAAACGTCTTCAAGGAAGAAAACAAAAAAAAACAAAACAAGAAACTCCAGTCGCCTTTTGAAAAAGCACCTTCGGGACGACCGTCGCTTGGATGGCTGAGAATCTCCACAGACCACTGAGATTGCAATTTTTAAATGATAAAAATCGATGCAATTATCGCGCGGCTGGTAGCAGCTGCCCCAAATTTTGGGGAAACCATTTTTATTTTGCAAAAAAAAACAAACGCAGCGGTGGTAGGAAATGATCTCACGTACGCAGAGCAGACTCCCGAACAAGAAATGTCGGGTTTTGTCTTTGTCAACATAAAACATCTCGTCGATTTTTATACTCAGATCAAAGGGGACGCTGGCAACTGGGCTCTCGTTCCAATCTGCCTTTCGTTTATAACACAAAAGCATGCCGTTTTTTTCCCCCCACCCACACCCTCAGGACATCTGGGGAGTCTCTGATACTGAAATGATAAGACGCAAGCCACGTTACCCGCTTATCCAGTGTCCTTTCTCTGACAAAACCCAGGAGCTGGTCGTTGACTAAAGAAAGATCTCGTTTGCCCGCAGTGATGATTGTGACAATGACATCATGGCGGATGGCTTCTTCCGGATCGTGGGATCTCACTTTTAAGTACTCTGGTTTCAAAAAAGAAAAGCATGTAACTTCTACCCAAAAAATATATATATACAACGTATTCAGGCACCTGCAACTACAGAGCAAAGCCTTTAGGAATATTAAAATTATGAGGTACGAAGCGGAACAACACATCGTCAACAAAACCTGTTTCTAAGTAACAGTTCAAGAAATGGACAGCTGTTTGTCTGAAATAGCATAGGGTTTCCTGCCTGAGCAGGGGGTTGGACTAGATGACCTCCAAGGTCTCCTCCTCCTCCCCTCCTCCTCCTTCTGCCATATCCGTTATCGGACGCTGGCGATCATGTTGGCGATCCTGTTTTTATCAGCAGCTACACGAAAAAGTGCTGCTGAGTTTTGTTCAAACCAGTCCCTTAGATTTTGAAGGTCCCTTCCAACTTTTATTATTATTATTATTATTATTATTATTATTATTATTATTATTATTATTATTATTATTATTATTATTATTATTATTATTATTATTGATCATCGCACAGTCAGCCAGATGTTCAGACTGGATTTGGCATTTTGTCTACCTATCGAGTCCTTCCCAAGGACCTGGGATAGGCAGATGTGGATGTTTGATGGTATTACAGATATCGTCGCAGGATATTATTATTATTATTATTATTATTATTATTATTATTATTATAATATACGTATAAAGTTAAGTAGGCAAGCAACTAACAAAGAATGACGACGGGAGGTCTGGTTTGTAGAAAGGCTGCCGCATTGAGCTCATAATTTGATAGTATTTCACAAACGGATTGATAAAACATTTCCTCTTATTTTACACGCTGGGCGGTGCAAGATTTAAACAGCGTAACGTTTCCTATTCTTTCTATGGAGAAATATACCTCCAACATGCCTTTTCAGCCTCATAATCAACAATACTTTGATTATCAAACCACGGCTGCATCTCCACGTTATTTGTTTGAATCTGTTATCCTCCTGCTTTTTTTCCCTCCAGTTCTTCTGAATTAAAATATCTTACCAGTCAGATCCTTCGCTAAATCTGGGTGGTTCATTAAACAATGACTTGCAAATTTTACACTTTCCAATCTCACAGGAACGTGAATGTCATTGAATCTAGAAGAGAGGAATATATGAATCCAAAAATTATATTCAGCTCCAGTGATGAATGCAATAAAATAAATAGGCTTGTATGAAAGTGTGCTTTCAGAAAGCAACATACTGCAAATATATAATCCAGGGGTCTTCAAACTTGGCCCTTTTATGACTTGTGGACTTCAACTCCCAGAATTCCTCAGCCAGCGTCGCTGGCTGAGGAATTCTGGGAGTTGAAGTCCACAAGTCATAAAAGGGCCAAGTTTGAAGACCCCTGATATAATCCAACATACTGGATATCCAAGAAAAAAAATCTTCTATTTGGCTAAAACAGGGAAATGATAGATGGCATTTCAATTTCAAAATACACTACATGAATGTCATTTACCGTAATACAGTAAATACACAGAGTATTTTCTGTATTACAAATTTTATACAGGGCTTTTAAGAACAAGTAAAGTTTTCTTTTTTTAAAAAAAAAGTATTACAGAAAAAGAATGGCTAAAATCAACCCAACCAAATATATATATATATACAGGCGAATTTCTCACCGTCCAAGAAAACACTGCCAAAGTGGACGATTTTGCGTTGCAAGGTCCGAATCTTTGGAACCAAATAACTTTGCTAAAAGCCTTACAACAGCTAAGCGTTCTTCTCCATCATTGCTCTGTTGGTTAAAAAGAAAAAAAGGGTTGTTTTTTTCCCCCCACTCCGCAGGTAACAATTTATTAGCATTAAANGGAGCGCTTTAAAAGTTGTTACTAACACCTTGAAGCGCACCCGGAAGGCCACCGGCAGCCAGTGCAGCTCGCGCAGGAGAGGTGTTACATGGGAGCATCTAGAGGCCCCCAAAATCCCCCACGCCAGAGTTATTACGGGAAACACTTGCCAGAGTTATTACGGGAAACACTGCTGTTGTTAAGTTAGGAACACAGTTGTTAAGTGAATCTGGTTTCCCCATGGACTTTCCTTGTCAGAAGGTCACAAAAGGTGATTTACATCACAGAGGTCCCCAACCTTTTGGGCACCAGGGACCGGTTCCGTGGAGAGGGGCTTTTCCACGGACCAGAGGGGGCGTGGCTTCGTGAGCTGCCTGCATCCCGCAGATGGGGCTTTGCTTGTTTGTGTGGACCGGTTGCTGGCATGCCCAAGGACTGGGGGTTGGGGACCCTTGATTTAGAGCAGAGGTCCCCAACCTTTTGGGCACCAGGGATCCGGTTCCGTGGAGAGAGGTTTTTCCGCGGACCGGAGGGTGCGTGGTTTCGTGTGCTGCCTGCATCCCATGGATGCTTGTTTGTGTGGACCGATTGCTGGCATGCCGTGGACCAGTACCGGGGGTTGGGGACCCCCTGCCCTAGACCAGAGGTCCCCAACCTTTTGGGCACCAGGGACCGGTTCGGTGGAGAGAGGTTTTTCCACGGATTGGAAAGTGCGTGGTTTTGTGTGCTGCCTGCATCCCGTGGGTCTTTGCTTGTTTGTGCGGACCGGTTGTTGGCATGCCGTTCACGGTTCACGGACTGGCGGACCCCTGATTTACATGACCCCGGGACACTGCAATATGAGTCAATTGCCAAGCGTCCGATTTATGATCGGGGGATCATGTAGCTACTGCACCAGCCGTTATGTTGTATGCCAATTTTTATCCAGCCAGAACGTGTCTTTTTCTGTGACGTGTTTTGAATCCGTATGTAGAGTCACAATCAGGCGATCCTCGACTTACAAAACTTCATTTAGTGACAGTTTGAAGTTACGACAGCACTCGGGGGAAAAATGACTACCGGCCGTTTTTCACACTTAGGGACGTGGCGGCATCCCCCCGTGGTCACGTGGTCTAAATTGGGGCCCTTGGCAACCGGCTCATATTTGTGACCGTTGCAGAGTCCCAAAGTCAAGGGGATCCCCTTTTTGTGACCTTCTGACACAAGAGGGAAGCCAGATTCATTTAATAACCATATTACTAATGGAGCGGTTCACTTAACAACGGTGGGCAAGAAAAGGTCATAAACTTTTTCTGAACGACCGTTTCACTTAGCAATAGTAATTTTGGGCTCAAGCGTGCCCGTAACTTGAGGATTACCTGTGTTGCAAACGTAGCCTCACTAGTGCAGTATAGATGGGTTACTACCACTTCCTGTGATCTCGACAGGAGATCCACTTCATGGTGCTTCACAACCCTCTCTAAGTGATTTATAGGGTCAGCATCTTCCCCCATCCCCCCAACAATCTGGGTCCTCATTTTGCCGACTTTGGAAGGAAGGATGGAAGGCCGAGTCCACTTTGAGCTAGTCGGGATCGAACTCTTGGCAGTGGGCAGAGTCAGCCCGCAATACCGCATTCTAACTACTGCGCCACCGCAACTCCTGATGCCATCCTTCTGTGTTACAGCCTAGGACAGTGGTGGCGAACCTATGGCACGGGTGCCAGAGGCAGCACTCAGAGCCCTCTCTGTGGGCACGCACACCGTCCCCCCAGTCCTAGGCCTTCAGCTGGGTTTTATAAAACCTTTTCACTTTAGGCCTCCACCGCCATGTGCAAAAAAAAAAAAAAGGTTCAATCAGTCAATTTCAAGTTCTTGTGGGGGACAAAAAGATCTTGCAAAGTTGGAATTGATTGATTGAACTTTTTAGTCCCACCCAGTCTGCCGTTACCACTGCAGCCACACCCACCCAATTGGCCACACCCACTCGGCACCCGACGATGCATATGTGGGTTTTGGGTTGCAGTTTGGGCACTCGGTCTCTAAAAGGTCCGCCATCACTGGCCTAGGATGTTTTTACTTATTCTGTTCCAGGATTTTTAGGAAGTTGTCCAAGCGAGAGTTACTTCCATTGGCAAGTAGAGAGATTTCTTCTTAAAGACTCACAGATTCATACACGACTATCCACAATCACAATGTCTGATCTGCAGACACGCATTGCGATGCAACCTTGGCACCCTCTCCCCTTTTGTGCTGCCCTCTCAGCGACGTGCAAAAACGCACAACAAAAAACAAGATTCGCTTTTTCCTTAGGCAAATGCCACGGGCTTTCATACCAAAGCACCTGGAGGCAGGAGAAGCAGCAACGGGTGGAAACTAAGCAAGGAGGGAATCAACCTAGAACTAAGGAGAAACTTCCTGACAGTTAGAACAATTAACCAGTAGAACAACCTGCCTCCAGAAGCTGTGAATGCTCCAACACTGGAAGTTTTTAAGAAGAGACTGGACAGCCACTTGTCTGAAATAGTATAGGGTCTCCTGCCTGAGCAGGGGGTTGGACTAGATGACCTCCAAGGTCCCTTCCAACTTTACTATTATTATTAACAACCTGCCTCCAGAAGCTGTGAATGCTCCAACACTGAAAGTTTTCAAGAAGAGGCTGGACAGCCACTTGTCTGAAATGATATAGGGTCTCCTGCCTGAGCAGGGGGTTGGACTAGATGACCTCCAAGGTCCCTTCCAACTTTACTATTATTATTAACAACCTGCCTCCAGAAGCTATGAATGCTCCAACACTGAAAGTTTTCAAGAAGAGGCTGGACAGCCACTTGTCTGAAATGATATAGGGTCTCCTGCCTGAGTAGGGGGTTGGACTAGATGACCTTCAAGGTCCCTTCCAACTTTACTATTATTATCATCATCATCATCATCATCATCATCATCATCATCATCATCATCATCATCTAACGGAATTTGATGTAAGATTAAACTCTTCTTACCTTCAGCTTGAACTCCAGCTGTGGCATGACAGACAACAGCAGGTTAGGATCGACAGCGAAAAGTTCTTGTATTAGATCAAATATATGCTCAGACAAGTCACTCACAGAAGACTTTCCTAGTACCAAAACCTGATTAAAAAACTAAGGAGAGAGAAAAACGCTTGCTTTAAAAAGTTAAGTATTTTCAACGCGGCTACACATTTAAACCGATTGTTGCCAGGACTCTTGTCACATTTTTTGCAAAACTGGGTTCAGTATTAAGGCAATCCTCCTGCCTTAATACACCTTGGCCCCTAACCTGAGGTTGCCCCTCCCCTCTGCTGGTTTTCTGGGTAAGACCCAGCTCTATCAACTAGTAGGCCGATCCAAGGGTGGGACACAACTCTGAGGGTGGCTGGGGGCTCGAAGGCACGCCTTCCATCTTATTTAACTTTTATTTTTGAATGGATTTTTAATGTGGATTGTATTGCCTGTTCACTTGTAAGCCAGCCAGAGTCACTTCGGCAGTGAGATGGGGCAGTGTTATCAATATGACTGGGAAATAAATAGAATTGTGGTTTCAATTTCTATTCAACACACAGCATCCCCTATCATTCTCACGGATGTATGTTTTAGAGAGGATTACTGGATGCCAATATTCTCAAGATAGCAAAAGCCATTAAGCATTCCCGTCTCTAGTGGTAAAGCCAATTAAAAAAAAAAACATAGGCACTAAGACTAAGTCATTTAAAAATGGAAGGCTAATCTTTGAAATTGTAAAAGCAAGATTATCGCGTGGGACGCATTTTGTGCAACAGGTACATTTCGCAAGAACACAGTAAATTAAAAGATTAGCATTCCACTTCAGTGCAAATTGTGGACTAACATTCTGGTAGTCCAGTCAATCAGGATCTGATAGTATGGAAATGAGGCTTAAACAAGCAACCTTGAGAAAGGAATAGCCAGGATACTACCCAGATGTAAAAAGCAACTGCAACTATGATCTTATTGAACAGGGGTCTTCAAACTTGGCCCTTTGATGACTTGTAGACTTCAATTCCCAGAATTCCTCAGCCAGGCTGAGGAATTCTGGGAGTTGAAGTCCACAAGTCATCAAAGGGCCAAGTTGGAAGACCCCTGATATTGATGGTTTGTATGACGACACAACATCATTAGTAATTTTACCTAACTGTATTTTACACACACAAACCCATTCACTTCCATCCCTGCATCACACATTAACAAGTTCACAGATAACCCTATTCAAATGAATTATCCCTACGTAGGTACTCAGCCTTAAAAGCTAGCTTTTATTTGGAAACTCATATTTTTTCTCCAAGTGGCTTGCAGGTTTTAAAGTGTAATACTTTAAAGTAATACTTTCGGACAGACGGTGTATAACTCACATCGCTGCTAATTATTTCTACTTCTAGACGTAGGAAAGTCTAAAAAAAAATCAATGTGTTACAGCCACTCATTTCTTCTTAAGCAAAACTGGGTAAGACAGCGCTGACTGCCTGGTCATGAATTCAGCTGATCTCTGACTGAAATAGAGTGGGAAGGAACAGAGCTGTGTAATAGATGTGGGATTATGATTGCTGAGTAACTGTGTAACTGGCCTCACGGTGCATGTGAAGTATCAATATTCCACTTTCGAATTTAAGGAATTTGCTGTAACGAATCCAAGGACGTATTCAAAAGAAGTCAGATTTTAAAATGTAGCAAACACTTCCTAGGTCAAAACCTTTTAATACGTACGTTGGCAATGCATGGCTCAATGGTTTGAACTGTTCTTTTCAACAGGATTTTTGCAAGGTCAAAGGCTTGTTTATTAAGGTTCTAGAAGAAAAGGAAAAAATGTTTAAGAAAATTACGCTTGTTATCAAGCAATTTATGCTAGTCATTTCTGAACAGAAGGTGTGAAGCAAACTCTAAAGTATGCTATCTATGCATGAGTGTGATAGGTAGACAGACATTTTTTTT